GAAGATAAGAAAGGTCTTCTTTGAAATGCTAACACCTAGAGTGCTGCCTGGAACCTTCCTGGAGCAGAGTAATGGGACAATTACTGGAAGGAATTCAGGGTCTTCAGCCTGAAGCAGGACAAAACCTAACCTAACAACCCCACTGGCCCCAGGAGGGTGTACGGCAGCCAAACGGGCAAGGAGGTGTTCCAGCCACTGGAATTGTTCACAGAGAAACGAGCTGCCTTAAGACATGTTTGTCTCTCTTTCCTTACACATTTTGCAGCAGGGATCATACTTTGTGAAGATTATGGTTCAGAGAAGTCCTTCTCATGGCTCCAATCCTAAATGCTCTCTCAGCATTGAACACACCCTGTTAGAGCACAAGCAGATGGCTAAGCTCCCCTCGTCCCTGCTGGTTTGAACTCCCACAAACAATACAGGAGGCCACCACATCCGAATCTGAGATGAATATAGGCGTCCATAAAGTTCATGTACAATTTAAAACAGTTCACAAAATCTTTATGGACAAATTGTATGTCCCATGCAATAACCATCTCATGTTTGTGAAATCAACCCCGGTTTCAAGGCACTCTCTCCCAGATTTCTTGTTCTTTTGCTTCTACAGCCCCTGAAACTCTTTAGAAAAGGGCCAGAGGATTCCTTGAAACTGGGGATGTTTGGGAATTCACCTCCTCTGAAGGCGACCTTGGTCAGTGACTCTCTGGTGCTGGGAACAGGGCTGCTCTGCTCTCTGCCCTCCTCTCTGGCCTTGACTGAGGCACCCAAGCTCCCCTGGCACCAGGTGTGGGCGAGGCTGGTTTGAGGCTGCACCTTGGCTTGGTGCCTTCTCCTTCTGTGTTCTGTCCTTCCCACCACCACTGCCTTCTTGCAGTTTTCCTGGGGGAGCTCTTCCTTCATAAGTCGTGTGTGCACAAATCCTGTTACTAGAGCCTGTTTCTGGGGAACTCCATCCAAGACAGTCCTGAAATAAAAGGGGAGCAAATGGATGCAGCCCTGAGGAATTGGTCCTCATGGTGGGAAAGGTTGCCTACATGCACCCGGACTCTGAAAATTCTTTCCTCAAATTATGGTTTGACATCAGTAGATAAAGCTTAGAGTAAAACCTCAAAACCTAACAGTATTGTTTATAAAATGAGTCTTTAGATAGTCAAAATATGATGTTCCAGCAAAAAGCCAAGAAAGAGCTTTAAATGTGGTGTCTGCTGAGCAGCTGAGCCTGACCCTGACCCTGGCTTCCACCCTGGCCCTGCCAACAGACCGCCCAACCAGCAGCACCCACGCTCCAAATGGGGAAGCCAGCCCCTCCTCCAGGGGCCTTCAAATTTGGCACCTCCCCACACATACAATGTACCCATCAGAAGTTCCAGGATAGAGGTTCAGCAAGCCCTGGAGAGTCTCGCCTCGTGGGATATTTTTAAATGCCTCCAGTTGTTTGCTTATTCCCCACACCATTGTTTTGTTTGATGTGTATTTATTTATTTGGGGGGATTCATTGAGGGTACAAGAAACCAGATTATACTGATTGCATTTGTTAGGTAAAGTCCCTCTTATAATTGTGTCTTGCACCCAAGAGGTGTGTCACATACCGAGACCCCCTATCCCCTCCCACCTTCCCTCTCTCTGCTCTTCCTTTCTCTCACCACCCTCCCTTCTTCTCTCTCTCTCTCTGCTTTCCCCTTCCCCACCCTCCACCGTGTCATTAATTGTCCTCATATCAAAATTGAATACATAGAATTCATGCTTTTCCATTCTTGTGATGCTTTACCAAGAATCATGTGTTCCACTTCCATCCAGGTTAATACAAAGGCTATAGAGTCTCCTGTTAACCCATTCCTGGGTTGGAGGGCATTTAGGCTGTTTCCACATTTTGGTGATTATAAATTGAGCTGTGATAAGCAGTCTAATGAAAGTGTGTTTATGGTAGAAGGATTTTTTTCCTTCTGGATAGATGCCCGGTAATGGGATTGCAGGATCTAATGGGAGGTCTAGCTTGAGTTCTTTGAGGGTTCTCCAGACTTCCTTCCAAAAAGGTTGTATTAGTTTGCAGTCCCACCAGCAGTGTAAAAGTGTTCCCTTCTCTCCACATCCATGCCAACATCTGCAGTTTTGAGATTTTGTGATGTGGGCCATTCTCGCTGGGGTTAGATGCTATCTCACGGTGGTTTTGATTTGCATTTCTCTAATAATTAGGGATGATGAGCATTTTTTTCATGTGTTTGCTAGCCATTCATCTGTCTTCTTTAGAGAAGGTTCTATTCATGTCTCTTGCCCATTGATATATGAGATTGTTAGTTTTTTTCATGGGGATTAATTTGAGTTCTCTATAGATCCTTGTTATCAAGCTTTGGTCTGATTCAAAATATGCAAATATCCTCTCCCATTGTGTAGGTTGTCTGTTTGCTTTGGTTGTTGTCTGCTTAGCTGTACGGAAGCTTTTCAGTTTAATTAAATCCTATTTGTTTATTTCTGTTGTTGCAATTGCCACGGCAGCCTTCTTCATGAAGTCTTTCCCCAGGCTGATATCTTCCAGTGTTTTTCCTCTGCTTTCTTTGAGGATTTTTATTGTTTCATGCCTTAAATTTAAGTCCTTTATCCATCTTGGATTAATGTTTGTGAATGGAGAAAGGTGTGGGTCTAGTTTCAGTCTTTTATATGTGAATATCTAGTTCTCCCAGCACCATTTATTGAATAGGGAGTCTTTTCCCAAGTGTATGTTCTTGTTTGGTTTATAAAAGATTACGTGGTTGTAAGATGTTAGTTTCATTTCCTGGTTTTCTATTTGATTACAAATGTCTATGTATCTTTGTGCCACTTCCATGCTGTTTTGACAACTATGGCCTTGTAGTACAGCCGAAAGTCTGGTATGCTGGTGGCTCCAGCTTTGTTTTTATTATTAAGAACTGCCTTAGGTATACGTTTTTTTTTCCGGTTCCATACAAAATGCAGAATCATTTTTTCCAAGTCTTGAAAGTACAATGTTGGATTTTAATAGGAATGGCATTGAATCGGTAGGTTGCTCTGGAAAGTATAGACATTTTAACAATGTTGATTCTTTCCAGCCATGAGCATGGTATGTTCTTCCATTCGTTAATATCCTCTGCTATTTCCTTTCTTAGAGTTTCATAATTTTCTTTATAGAGGTCCTTCACCTCTTTTGTTAGGTATATTCCTAGGTATTTCATTTTCTTTGAAGCTATGGTGAAGGGAGTTGTGTCCTTAATTAGCCTGTCATCTTGGCTGTTGTATACAAAGGCCACTGACCTGTGGATATTGATTTTATATCCTGAGACATTACTGTATTTTTTCATGACTTCCAGGAGTCTTGTGGTTGAATCTTTGGGATTCTCTAAGTATAAGATCATTTCGTCAGCAAAGAGGGAGAGTTTGACCTCCTCTGCTCCCATTTGGATTCCCTTTATTTCCTTGTCTTGCCTACTTGTATTGGCTAGAACTCTCAACACTATGTTGAATAGTAATGGTGACAGAGGACAACCTTGTCTGGATGAAGTTCGAAGTGGAAACCCTTTCAGTTTTACTCCATTCAGTAAAATATGAGCTGTGGTTTTGTCATAGATAGCTTTGATCAGTTTTAGAAATGTGATACCTATGCCTATACTCTTCAGCATTCTAATTTAAAAAAGATACTGGATTTTATGCATCTATTAGAGGATCATATGGTGTTTGTTTTTACTTCTGTTGATATGGTGAATAACGTTTATGGATTTGCATGTGTTAAACCAGCCTTGCATCCCTGGGGTGAAACCTACTGATCATGATGTATGACTTTTTTGATGATAAGCTATAATCTATAGGCTAGGAAAGCTGTAATGTATAGGCTAGGATTTTGTTGAGAATTTTGGCATTTATATTCATTAGTGAAATTCATCTGAAGTTCTCTTTTTTAGTTGGGTCTTTTCCTGGTTTTGGTATCAGG